GCCGAGTGTCACTTTCATGGAGGGACCCCATGTGTATGAATTACGGGCAACTCAAGAGTTGGGCTCACGCAGCTGCTTAGCTGTGCCTCTCACTAGGAAAGGTGTGTGGGTAGGACTGGTGTGCTAAGAAGGGTGTGGTCCCCACATCTGGAGAGACAGACCAAGGTCTCAAACAAGTGCAGGCACTAGTTCCCCATGTGGTTGGTGACAGGACAGGTCAATGGATGCTAGTCTGATTTTGGTAGCCCAGTACAAGGACATGACATTTACTTTTGCCACTTTGCATTGAGAATTGAGCCTAAGAGCTCATAAAAGTGCCCTACAACTGAACATACTTCCAGTCCCCTCCACTCCACCCCTCTGGTCCCCCAGTCCCCTCCACTCCACCCCTCTGGTCCCCCAGTCCCCTCCACTCCACCCCTCTGCTCCCCCAGTCCCCTCCACTCCACCCCTCTGTTCCCTCAGTCCCTTCCACTCCACCCCTCTGCTCCCCCAGTCCCCTCCACTGCACCCCTCTGTTCTCCCAGTCCCCTCCACCCCATCCCTCTGCTCCCCCAGTCCCCTTCACTCTACCCCTCTGCTTCCCCAGTCCCCTCCACTCCACCCCTCTGCTCCCCAGCCCTCCCCATCCCTTTGAGCCTCTAGCCCTGTATACCTCCAGTCCTGCTATATCCCTAGTCATCTATACTGCCAGTTCCCTACACACCCGGCTCTTTCCACCTAAGTCCTCTCCACCCCAGCTCTCCTTTCCCCCTACTTTTATATTTGGAGAAAAGTATCACAAAATTGCCTTGGTTGCCCTTGAACTCACCTATAACCCCCAAATGATCTTCAACTTGTGATGCTCCTTCCTGTCTTAGTCCCCCAAATGACTGGTATGACAGGATTGTGCCACCAGACCTGTTTGTGGCATTTCTTCTCACCAGCAGGGCACTCCTTGGATTTCAGTCCTCCCCCCGCCCCGACCCAGTGCACCCAGCCACTTACTGGTGCCATGAACCTCCTCCCCAGTAAAGCGGATGTTGAAGGCATATGTGGGGTCACCACCACTGGCCAGCTTGACACAGAGCTGAGAGGATGGCACAGAGGACAGTTGTCGGGCAGCCTGGCAGAAGTAGGAGTTTTCTGAGGCTCTGATTTCCCCTGGAAGTGGAAGGTAGATCATAAGCTCAGCAGCCACACCCTACCTGTTCACCAGGAGACTCAAGCCTGGTCAGCACAGGCCGGCTTTTCTTCCCACTGTGCATATGTGGTGCTCTGGTAGCTAACCTAGAGGCTCTCAGAGGCTTTTCCTCAAAATTCACACCTGGCTCCTCCCTTGAGTCCTTCATGTTTGCTTCAGGCCTACAATAAGTCTGTCTGTACTACAGGACTAGGGCATGTTCCCAGGTAGAATGGCTTCTGCACCCTCCTACAGTCAGAGAGGAAAGGCCGCTGAGGCAGGGAAGGCTAAGCGCCTCTTCTTCCCCTCCTTGGAGCTGGAAGGTCCCATCAGGAGCCTAATACACAGACAAAGGCAGCCCGATGAGTAAGGGGTGGGACTGCCCTACCACTCTCCAGGCCTCCCTGGTGGTTTCAGGCCAGTTTGTTTAAGGACCGAAGCCTGCCCTACCTCCCACAATTTCTAGTGGGTCCAAGGTGATCTCCGGAGCTGCATGGTCAGCTGTCCTCTGCACAGTGGCATTGAGCACTCGATTCATCACGGTCACCTTGGTGTCGTAGAAGATCAGTCCTGCAGAGAAATGTGGGAGAGAGGCGGGCTGTAGTTGCCTCTCCTCATTCCCAGTCACCCCTGCAACCCAGGGAAGACCATGTTCACCCCTCAACCCTTTGTTGAGGCTCCTGGGTATTCCAGAAACACAGACATGTTGGGAGATAAAAACACACCATGTAAAATGCCATCTATTTTATGTGTGTGGTACAGGAACACACGTGTGCCTATGCAGAGGACAGAGGTCAACATAAGGTACTCTATCTCTGCCCGTCTTATTCTTTGGTGTATGTGTCTGCATTTCCCTGTGTGGGTGTGTATGATGCAGAAAGGCCTGGAGGATGCTCGTGTTCTTTTGTCACTATCTGTCTTATTCCTTTGAGACAGTCCTTCACTGAAACTGGAGTTCACTGATTCAGCTAAGCTGCCTGGCCAGCAAGTTCCCCGAACCCACCTGTCTCTGCCCCGTCCCAGCTCACTGTGTGTAAACAGGACTGGACAGACAGCCTTGCACTAACTAATGCCTAAGGGCACATTGGGCAAATGGCACCAACCTTATTTCAGAATGCATTGAACTTTTACAGAGATCTACTTTTAATTAGCTTCTCTTAGGGAAGCTGCTGCTTGACAGAAGAAGGGTAAGCCTTCCTGCTCGCCAGCTCTGAGGGTGGCCCAGCACTGACCTTTTGCCTCCTTCAGCAGGGCAGCGATGCTGTGTGTGTACATGGGTGTCTGGCGCAGCTCCACTAGGGGCAAGAAGAAGGTCTCCAGTGTGGTGTTGAGAGACTGGAGGAGTGCGAAGCGTAGGCGCAAGCTCTCAATAGGCACATCTGCAGGGAGAAGGTGGTCAGGCTGAGTGCTGGCCAAGCCAGACAGTCTGTTCCCAGGAGAACACCTGGGTCAGGGGCTCCCCAGGAACACAAGTCAGTACATAGCAGATCCAGAGGGGAGGCCCTGGGAATTCAAGTCGTACCCCTATCCTTCTCTTGGGCCACGCCAGGGCTACATATGATCTTACTGTTTTTGTGGAGACAGAACCCAGGGCCTTATGCATACCAGACAAGCACTCTGCTCCTGAGTTACACTTTCTACCCTACATGTATGTTTGTGTGTGTGTGTGTGTTTTGTAAAATTAATTTATTTATTTTACATCCTGAACACAGTTTCCCCTTCCTCCTTTCCTCCCATTCATTCTTCTTACTTCTGCCCCCTACTCCCCCAAACGACTCCTCTGTTTCTGTTCAGAAAGGGACAGGCCTCCCATGGGTATCAACAAAGCATGGCATAGCAAGTTGCAGTAGAACTAAGCACCTTCCCTTATATTAAGGCTAGGCAAGGCGACCCAGTACAAGACTAGGGTTCCAAGAGTCAGCCCCTAAATGTCTTTTTTTGTTTTTTTTTTAAATTTATTTATTATGTATACAACATTCCTTCCATGTATGCTTGCAGGCCAGAAGAGGGCACCAGATTTCATCACAGATGGTTGTGAGCCACCATGTGGTTGCTGGGAATTGAACTCAGGACCTCTGGAAGAGCAGCCAGTGCTCTTAACCTCTGAGCCATCTCTCCAGCCCCCTAAATGGTTTTTTTGTGTTTTTTTAAAAAATATTTATTTATTTATTTATTATGTATACAATATTTTGTCTACATGTATGTCTGCAGGGCAGAAGAGGGCACCAGACCTCATTACAGATGGTTGTGAGCCACCATGTGGTTGCTGGGAATTGAACTCAGGACCTTTGGAAGAGCAGGCAATGCTCTTAACCTCTGAGCCATCTCTCCAGCCCCCTAAATGGGTTTTAAACATTGAAATAATGACAGATTATAAGAAGTGGCAAATGCAGTGCGCAGTCTGGCATGCTCTTTGCCCAGCTGCCTTTGGCAGTGACAAAACAGGGCCGCTGGCACACTGCCTTTTAGCTCATTCCCTTTCATAGCTGTGTCCTTTCCCCTATGAGAGACTAGCATCATGGACAACTTGCCCATCTTTGTCTCCCGCATCCAGAAGAACAAGGGTCCTGCCCTTGCTGCCAAGGAAGGCAGTGGCCCTATGGCACCTGTGTGCAGCCTTGCATGGGCTCTGCCTGGGTGATGCCTGGTGGAGTGGTAACTAACTAGTGCTTTCTTGCTGTTCATTTCTTGTTTTTAAGGAAAATGTGCTGCCCACCCCATGGACAATCCTCTACCACAGGTCAGCAGTGATCTGACCCTCTTACCTCACAGCAGCCTGACCTCAGTGGGTGTGGTGGCAGGAATCTCTGCCACTCTGAGCTCATTACCCAGCCTTGGCTTTGTTTTAATGAGCATTAAACAAAGGCCAGCATAAGAGCTCCCTCTGCCCTTTTGGTTGATGCACATGGAGAGCCCTAAGTATTCCTCTAACATAGGTGAATACCCTTAGAGGCAACATACTCGAGAGACAGGCCATCCTGGGGTCGGTGGCATCAGCTGGGTCAAGATACACCTCGTGAGGGTGAAGCCGTGCTGGCGTGATAGCAAGATGACGGCACAGCCTGTTGATGTATTGTACAAGAGCCACATCCATCTCCAGAGTCCACTTCCTGGAGGCTTTCTGTGCATGTCGGACGTCGATGCAGGCACACCTGGGGCAGGACAGTTTCCTGGTAAGACACTGTTAGAGCCACACCTAACCCCTGTCTTTCAGGGATTTGGGGGGAGGACCAGATTGCTCCTCATGAGGGAAAGCTTTTCAGAGTACAAACAATAGGGTGTGGGCACAGAGGAGCCTTGTGGGAAGTCTGGAAACCCACATGCACAAGTGTTTCCCTCTTATTAGGTTGAGGGATGGGGTCCTCAGGAGATACGGGGACCACGCAGTGACCTGGGCTAAAACACACCCACTTCTGAGCCTGGGTTTACTTTTCCATAACATGAGCTCAGAATGGCATTGGTGTACTTGTCACAAGAATTCAATGAGAGGCTGCCTGTGAAGCACATGGCATGGTGCCCAAGTGCCCACCACGTAGCTGCTGCTGGTACCAACATGGTTCCCTCAGCTATGTGACCCCATTCCAGCATTTATCTACACAGGACAGACCAAGGTGTACTTGAAGTGTACTTTATTTACTGCAAGGCTATATTGTTGCAGTAACACTGGGTGCAACCTGCATGTCCATCCCTGGAAATTGCCGCCTAAACTGTGCTATACCTAGCAATGGAACTCTGGGCAATGTGGGAATGATTGCATGGAACCCCATAACCCCAACTGTGTGAAAAACTGAAAAACTAAACCTAATTAATGTCTTCAATAGTAAGCAGAGTCTCAAATCAGGGCAGAGTATAAACATAGTCCCCCAGGGCTACAAATGATGGGGCTGGGTTTCCCTCATTTGGCAAAATTATAGGGATCAGCATGTTCAGAGTGTAATGGGTAAGCTGCACCCTGGGAAAAGCACTCTGTGATCATGGGATCACCTCCGCCAAGTAAGTCTCTGAAGTCTGATTTCTCAGAATGTCTATATTGGACAGCCCCTCCTTTGTGGCTCAGCATATATCCACCTATGGACAAGGCTGAGGGACTGTGTGTGATTTAGAGTACTGGCCTCCTCAGTTCTGCAGGTTCCTTGTTTGCTCCATATTCACTTGTGGACAGGAATGAGCCCTGCTCATTCAGTCCATTGGATCTGAAGGCTTGGCCCATGCCTTGCTGTCTTCATGGGAAGGGGAACAATGGAGACCCAAGGAAATCTGAGGAAGACTTTAGAATAAGCAATGTTCTTATCAGGGACTAAATTGTGTGCCCCAATACAGTGTGACAGCACTTGGAGAGATAACTATGATAATTATAGAATTAAAGCTAAATAAAATTATGTAAGTGGGTGCTGTGGGACAATGGTCTTTTATCTTGCCACTTGTATTATTTTTAATAAAACACTAACTGGCCAGTAGCCAGGCAGGAAGTAGAGGTGGGGCAATGAGAACAGAATTCTGGAAAGAGGAAAGCTCAGTCTGCAGTCATCACCCAGACAGAGAGGAAGGAAGCAAGATGAGAATGCCTTGCTGATGAAAGTTACCAAGACATGTGGCTAACACAGACAAGAAAAATAGGCTAATATAAGATGTAAGAAAGTGTTAATAAAAAGCCTGAGCTAATAGGTCAATCAGTTTATGAATAACGCAGACCTCTGTGTGTTTCTTTGGGACTGAATGACTGTGGGACAGGGTGGGACAGAAACCTCAGCCAACAAGTGGGCCCCAACTCAACAGGGTTGATGTCACTTTAAGAAAAATGAGATTAGGGCTGGAGAGATGGCTCAGTGGTTACGAGCATTGCCTGCTCTTCCAAAGGTCCTGAGTTCAATTCCCAGCAACCACATGGTGGCTCACAACCATCTGTAAAGAGGTCTGGCGCCCTCTTCTGGCCTTCAGGCATACAGACAGAATATTGTATACATAATAAATAAATAAATAAATAAATAAATAGATAGATAGAAAAAAAGAAAAATGAGATTAAAGCCAGGCATAGTGGCCAATGCCTTTAATTCCAGCATTTAGGAGGCAGAGGCAGATGGATCTCTATGCCTTCAAGGTTAGTAGGGTCTATATAGGGAGCTCTAGGACAGCCAGGGCTACATAGTGAGACATTGTCTTGAAAAGAAAGAAATAAATAAAAAGAAACAAAGAGGGAGGGAAGGAAAAGAAAAGCAAGCAAGCAGAGATTAGGTCATACAAGGACAGAGAAAGGTTGAGTGAGATGAAATGAGCAGGGTACCATGTGCTGGTCACTGGAGGCCCCAGGTACCCTCCAGAACTGCATGGGGAAGTGTCTGCTATTTCAGCCATGTGTGTAATGGCACCAAGAAGTCAAGATTTGAAGGAAAAGAACAGTCTGTTTTCAAACATGTACGAAAAAGTCACTTGAAAATCACGTAAACTCAGGGAGTAGCTTTGAAGGCTAGAGCATCACAGACAGAGCAGACCCTCAGCAGGATGACAGCTGAGATATCCACCTGCCAAAACCAGTTCTATCCCAGACTCAACCTAGAGGAAGGCCCATTTCTCACCTCTCAAAATGAAGGTCATAACCACAGGATAAGATTGCCCTCCAGACACTGCGGATATCTTGCTTGGCTCTGTCAATGACGAATTTGTGAAAGCCTTCTAGGGTCAGGTACTTTTCCTCAGGAACTGATGGTACAGCACGTGCATGCCGTCAGAGGGGGAACAAGAATGTGCACAATCAGGGTGGAAAGCCTGCACACGGTGGCCCTTCACTGTCTGTCATTGCTCCTCTTGTCCATGGCCTCCTCTGCCTAGCTCCCCTCCTTTATTGTCCCCAGCCCTGTCACAAGTGCGATGCAGCATTCACATACTCCACCTCTCACCCAGGCTTTGCCATGGCTTACCGTCTTTCTTATTTCTCCAAGTCTCAGAAGCATAAGGCTAACAAAGCAGTTCGTACACAGTGAGCAGATTTCTCTGCTGATGTCTTAAGGCCCTCCCTCATTAGTTCACTGGTTCAGGCAAGTGCCTTCTAGAAACCCCAAGCAAATTTCCACACCTTTACTTTTCAGTTAAAACTATCTATTCTTCACCTTATATTTATTCCTTAAGCTGATGGCCACAAAGCTGGCAGTCAGGAATACATCCCACTGTCCGCATAAACATTGTCTCACCTCAACTACAACTTAAAAGAGCTTGGAGCATAAAGAGCTGGGCTATCCTAGTGGGTGGAGCCATCCAGGCAGGCCTTGGCCAACAGGCCTGTCCTGGAGTGGGCTGCTGTCCCCAGGATGAAAGCAGGTTCTCCAGCCACTAATGTACCTTCTTGCTTTTTGGTGGGTGATTTTTCTGGATCTTTTTCATCTGGTTTGCTTTTCTCAGGTGACTTTGCCTTCACGGTTGGCTTCTTCTCACTTAATGCAGTCCTGCTACAAACCAAAGCACTGCAGTTAGGGTGTGCATGTCTGCGCCACCTCCCAATATGAAACACAGAACTTCACACACCCCAACTATGGTACAGGGGTACCTAGGGCTGAGTTTAAGGCTTTGTTCTGAGCAGATTACAAAGACAAACCAATGCTTTAAGACACGAGAACTCCTGAAACTCTTTTCAGACATTTTCTATATATTTAGAGTGGCATTGCTCAATAAAGTAGCCAGTAGCAAGGATTAGCTACCTAAGGTTAAATTAGGCAAAACTGAGTAATTCACAAGCTCAGGTTCTCAGCTGCGCTCACATTTTCAGTGCTACCGAGAAACCACAGGGCAGCAGTACTGAGCAGCACAGGGACATCACTGAGTGCTGTCAGCACTGGGAATTCTGCAGGACAGGGCCATTTCCACATAGTGGATTAATGAAAGGGAATAGGGTATCTCTGGTCACTCACAGAATTCTAAATACACTTGCAGTGCAAGGGCTATCAGAACAGTGAGGATGGAGTCATAAACTAAGCTAGGCATGACAAGGAGTGACAGCGATTCCTGAGCTGATATAGGAGGATCACTAGTTTGAGCCTAGCTGGGGTTGTAAAGTAAGTACTGGTTTTTGTTTTTTGAGACAGAGTCTCACATAGTCTAAGTTGGAACATACTACATAGCCAAGGCTGACCTTGAATCCTTGATCCTGTCTCCACTCCCAAACATTCAACCTCTGCCCTCAGTGGTCTTGAGAGGGAGGCAGAGGCAGATAGATCTCTGAGTTTGAGGCCAGCCTGGTCTACAGAGTGAGTTCCAGGACAGTCAGAGATACACAGAAAAGTCCTGCCTCAAAAAAATAAAAATAAGGGTCACGGAGTCTACAATTGGTGATCCCAAAGAAGCTAAGTAAGAAGGTGAACCAAAGGAAAAACATATAGTTGTCCTCTTGGCTATGGGAAGTAGACAAAATTGCCGGGGAGAAAACTGGGATCTTGGGGGTGGGGTGGGATGGGGGTAAGGGGAGGTGGGGAGAGAAAAGGGAGAAGGGGAGGATGGGGGGAACTTGGGGAAAAAGGAGGATTGGGATAAAGGAAGGTTGGATAGGGGAGCACGGAAGCACAATTCTTAGTTAAGGGAGCCACCTTAGGGTTGGCAAGAGACTTAGGGTTGGCAAGAGTGGCTCCCAGGTGCCCAAGCCGAGGTCCCCAGTTAGTTCCTTGGGCAGCTGAGGATAGGGAACCTGAAATGACCCTATCCTATAGCAATACTGACGAATATCTTGCATATCATCATAGAACCTTCATCTGGTGATGGATGGAGATAGAGACAGAGACCCACACTGGAGCACTGGACTGAGCTTCCAAGGTCCCAATGAGGAGAAAGAGGGAGAACATGAGCAAAGAAGTCGGGACCACGAGGCGTGCACCCACCCACTGAGACAGTGGAGCTGATCTATTGGGAGCTCACCAAGGCTAGCTGGACTGTGACTGAAAAAGCATGGGATAAAACTGGACTCTCTGAACATGGCGAACAATGAGGGCTGATGAGAAGCCAAGGACAATGGCACGGGGTTTTGATCCTACGTAATGTGCTGGCTTTGTGGGAGCCTAGCCAGTTTGGATGTTCACCTTCCTAGATATGGACGGAGGGGGGAGGACCTAGGACTTACCACAGGGCAGGGAACCCTGACTGCTCTTTGGACTGGAGAGGGAGGGGGAGAGGAGTGGGGGGAGGAGGAGAAGGGTGGGAGGAGGGGGAGGAAAATGGGAGGCTGGGAGGAGGTGGAAACTTGTTTTTTTTTTCTCCTTTTCTCAATAAAAAAAAAAAGTTAAAAAAATAAAATAAAAAATAAAAAAAGAATGCCGGGCGGTGGTGGTGCACGCCTTTAATCCCAGCACTCGGGAGGCAGAGGCAGGCGGATCTCTGTGAGTTCGAGACCAGCCTGGTCTACAAGAGCTAGTTCCAGGACAAGCTCCAAAACCACAGAGAAACCCTGTCTTGAGAAAACCAAAAAAAAATAAAAAAAGAAAAAAATAAAAAAAAATAAAAAAATAAAAAAAGAAAGAAAAAATTACACTAAACATATATAAAGACTCAAATATGGAATATTATAGAACTACCAATAAGAAAGGAAGTAGGCTCAAAGGGAGAAGAATGGTTCAAGAGTTAGACGTGCTTATTGTTCTTGCAGGACCCAGATTTGGTTCCCGCCACTAACAAGGTAACTCATAACCATCTGTAGCTCCAATTCCCGGGTCCCCTTCAGGTACCTGCAAGCATGTGGTGTACATAAGTTCATCCAGGTGCACACACCTACACATTAGTAACAAATTTTTATAGAACATTTTTTTTAAATGTTGTTGTTCCATCTTTTTTTTTAAGATTTTTTTTTAATTTATTATGTATCCAATATAGTGTGCTGCCTCCATGTATGACTGCATGCCAGAAGAGGGCACCAGATATCATTGTAGATGGTTGTTAGTCACCATGTGGTTGCTGGGAATTGAACTCAGGACCTCTGGAAGAACAGTCAGTGTCCTTAACCTCCGAGCCATCTCTCCAGCCCCCTTGT